AGACATTTTTGAGCCACCTTTGGCAAAGTAGAAAGGAACGATTGGCCATCGGTGATCGGTCCTGTGGGAACAATGCTCCGTCCTCTCGAGGACGCGTGGTCAATGGTCTAACCGCTAAGACATGCAAAACATACGAGTACGCCCCTCCCCGGTGTTTGCCATCGGGATTGGGTTTTCGTCGCTTGGCAACGATGTTGTAGAAAAGCCAATTCACTTTGTGAACTTGGCGAAGGCCACCCTGACTCTCGAAATCATGGGTTCGAGTCCGTGTTGAGGTGTGTTTTTTTTCCAAGACATTTTTTGTGACAATAGGTATGTGGGCGACTGCGAACGAACGCAATTCAATGTGTAGACAATCCGCACAAGCCTACTGCAGGTATTTTTTTCAACTAATAAACGTATATGACACAAGATAACACACCCCCTGGACTGATTTTCAAAGCTCGATTACTCCACGACGAAGAGGATGCATGACCGAAATGATACATTTTCAAAAAGCTCTCGACGAGACGGTTTCAACGCCGCCTTTTTCGGCGCTGTGACTGTTCCTGCAGTTGAGAAATCGAGCTTCGAAAATCGGTCAAGGGGGTGTGGTATCTTGTGTCATATACGGTATTCCACCTCCCGATCTAGTATTTTTATCGCGAGAAGGGTCCGGCCGTCCCTTTCCCTCGTCAACGGTGCTAACGTCGAAGTTTGGTACTCAAAGAGCTTGTCAGCTATATTTCGCTTCCACCCGCACATTTCGTACATTTTTCACCCCATGGGGATTCGAGCTCACGACCTCTGCGACTAGCGGATTACGAGGATACCACTAGACCACCGGGGCGACCGGTTGCAGTATTTCCTAACGGTGGGCACGTGTCAAGCTGTGACATGTATTGGAATACGTACCATTTTATCTCGGTGGGCCGCAGCACTTTTTACTATAAGCTGCTACCTGTCGCATGCACGTTATCTACACTAGTAAAGTAACGCAAACTGGTCGTCCTGATTCTCTCGTTTTCAAGTATGCCACATAATGCTTCGGTTTAGGCTGATTTCGCGATGGTGTACAGATAGATGAGTTCAGCTGGGTACGTACGGTCCTTCTTTGATGTTGAAGTAAGCACATCGGAAGACCGCAAAGTGATGATGTACACCGTAGTTGTTCCCGGCTATTATACTTTGCTTGCACCATTGCGGTTGTTCTCACCAGCCTCCATTTTAGGCTCTGGGGCGTTGGGCGGGACTTGAATAGAGACAGGCGCAACCAACGCGCTCAGCATCCCTCCTTGGCGGCAGATGTCACTCAATCCCCACTGCCTGCAAAGAACTACTGCTGTAAGCTGCTGGAAGCACATCCCCCGCGGGCTGTATGCATATGATGACAGGGTAATGTGCGCTTAGACGCTGTACGCAATGTGTCGAAAGGGCGCTGGCTCTTGTGAGACGTTCCAACCGGGACCGGCCCTTATTTGTGTTCTAAGAAGACCTTCACTTAGCCCCGGTGGTCTAGTTGGTAACCTCGGAACCTTCTGGAGGTCAGGTCAGCGGTTCGAATCCCGGCGTAAACGAGCTTTTCTTGCAAAGTAAGTTTGTCTCTGCTTCCGCTCCTGGCCCAGTGGATAGCGCTAGTTCGTGTTGTTGTTGTTGTTGTTTCTCACATGAGCTCTAGTGTCCACAAGAAATGGGGAGCCCGTGGTCTCAAAACCCGGCACATACGACGCCGCGGGGAAAAAAAACAAAAATAGGGTACAAACCACTCGGAAAAAGAAAACAAAATGATAGAAAGAAAAGAACAGGTATCGCACCGACCGTTCGAGAAAAGAGCCCTCGGAAACCGATCAAAATAAGAGAAAAACAAAAATAAAGGAGAACGCTTCCCACACCCGCCTAAAGAAAAAATCAAATGGGTAACGTACCAGCACCAGGCACTATGCACCAGGGCATGGGAGTAACGGGGCAAACAGGACAAAGAGGCGACAGATGGGCAGACAGCCAGCTGTACAAAAAACAAAAAACAAAAGCAACAGCAAAAGCGAGATCAAGGTACCCAACACAGCAGAGTAGGCAGGGAGGGAGGACATGAAAAAAGGAAACACAGCCCAGAGGCCGAAGGCAATACAAAGGACATATACATAAAGGAGTATAGCATACAGCAGGGAGGGAAACAGGGCGCAACAACATCAGCCGGGTACGTGGGTGCGCCTCATGGAGCCTAACAGCGGATCACTACACAAAGCTCAAAGGGACCCACCGCCAGTTCTTTACACGGTGCATCGGCTGGAGCAAGCGGAAACGCTCAGACCGCCCCCTGTCCTATGCCCAGGCCCTCATCCAGGCAGGCTGCGAGGAAACCATCGAGGCCACCGTGCGCAAACGGAGACTGTGTTTCGCGGGCTTTGTTATGCGCATGAACGACAACCGCGTCCCCAAGCGCATGCTGTTAGGAGCGATGACGGGGGGCGTGGGATACGGGGGCGGGCAGGAGAGCGACTGGGTGTCTTGTCTAGGAGAGGACCTCGTGGCCTTCAACATGGGAGACGAAAAGGAAGGGGGGAAATGGAAAGAGAGCGCCAAGGACCCGGAGGTGTGGTACAACAAGGTCGAGGACGGGGCGGCATGGCTCATGAGAAAATGGCACAGGCAGGAGGCGGAAGCGTCCACGAAGCGCCAGCGCACGAGGGAAGCAGAAGCAGAGAGTACGGCCATCTCAGGACCGAAGAGAAAGAAGAGAGTCGGGGAAGCGGCGGTGGGGGGGAAGAAACGGCGACCGGGCACTGCTGTAGAAGCGAGTAGGGCGGCCGAGGCAGCACTTGTGGCGAACTATGTACCCGGCTGATGTTGTTGCGCCCTGTTTCCCTCCTTGCTGTATGCTATACTCCTTTATGTATGTTCTTGTATTGCCTTCGGCCTCTGCGCTGTGTTTCTTTTTTCATGACCTCCCTGCCTACTCTGCTGTGTTGGGTACCTTGATCTCGCTTTTGCTGTTGCTTTTGTTTTGTATGTCTGGCTGTCTGCCCATCTGCCGCCTCTTTGTCCTGTTTGCTCCGTTACTCCCATGCCCTGGTGCGTAGTGCGTGGTGCTGGTACGTTACCCTTTTTTCTTTAGGCGGGTGTGGGAAGCGTCCTCCTTTATTTTGTTTTTGTTTTATTTTGGTCGGTTTCCGAGGGCTCTTTTCTCGAACGGTCGGTGCAACATCTGTTCTTCTCTTTCTACTCCTATCATTTTGTTTTCTTTTTCCGAGTGGTTTGTACCGTGTTTTTGTTTTGTTTCCCCGCGGCGTCGTATGTGCCGGGTTTTGAGACAACGGGCTCCCCATTTGTTGTGGACACCAAAGCTCATGTGAGAAACAACAACAACAAGTTCGCCACAAGTGCTGCCTCGGCCGCCCAACTCGCTTCTACAGCAGTGCCCGGTCGCCGCGTGTGTACACAGAGGGAAGAGAGTGCTGAACTCTTTTCGCATTGAAAATCTATGGCAAACTACCGCAGTAGGGGAGGGTAGAGAGGGGCTCTTCTGTGTGATCACGGGTTGGAGTAATCGACACTATAGTGCCGTTAGCGCTGACTTGAAGTGCAGACCAAAAAAAAAAAACGCTTATGAGAAAAAAAAACCTGGTTCTCGTCACGTCTTTCCACATACCGCATGACTACTTGATGTGCATGTATTCAGTACGAGCCGTATTGGCGGTATCACACAATCAGGTTGGGTTGCACACAGCAGTGCTGTGGGCTCGTGTTGCTGCTGCCGCAGTGCCTTGTTGCAACAAGCTGCTTTGTTGTGCTGTTAATCCGTTCGAAAATTGCCACGAACCGTTCAGCAGCCGCGATCACGTATGTAAGCTGCTCAGCAATTCTCCAGCGATGCTGCGGTTCGCAAAGCATCCCTATCCCTTTCCCTTACCCTGGTTTGTAGCAGTGAGCCAGCATTCCAAATGGGAGAGAGCTCAACACCCCAAGCGGGCGGGATATCCACACTACTACCAGCTTATCCGAACATGCGGGCTCACACCTCACACAACCTCATCATGTGACGGCGGTTGAACGGTTTGACATTGACGCTCGCACAAAGTTCACCCACACACATGAGACGGAGTAGTCTATACATTCACCACCTCCTCCTGCACGGTTCCCTTCCTTGCAGGTACACACACACCTGTGACGGTCTGCGCAGGATCCGTACCGTTGTCCCCGTTGTGAGGATCTATCAGCCCCGACAACAGCCCATACGCATACATTGATGTCGCACTATTATCCACCACCGCCGCTGTTCCTGCTGCTGTTGTTGTCGTTGTTGCCGTTGTTGCTGTGTCAGCCATCATCTCCGCAGGCTCCCGTGATACCTCCGTCCGCGGCTGAGCCGGGAACAGGTTGACGCTGGCCACCAGGGCGAACGCGAATATGCCAAAGGCGCAGCAGAGGGGCCCGCTTAGGCTGGGCGAGCTTGGGTGGCTCGATCGTCTCATCCTCGAAATCATTGCTGCTTGCTGCGGCTGCTGAATTGTGCTGCAAAATGTGGCTTGCAGGTTTGATGACTCTTGGACTTCGATCCATTTTTTTTGGTTCGAAATCGTGCGACGGGCTCTCTTCTCTTTTCTTCCAAGCAAGTAGTGACGGGCTGCGGGACATTCCACATGTCATTCGTGGTGGACCGCCGTAAAATTAGAGGCCGCACGCAGCCCATGCGCCATCGGCTGATTTCCGTGCCATTTTCTGAGGCTGCTCTACAGTAATCCATACTCGCAACCCCGCGTGATGACTTTCCATATCACGTCTGTCTGCTTCACTCTCAATCTTATGTTCCTTTTTACGGAATACGGAACGAATGTGTTTGTACAAGTGATACCGGAGGAGGAGTGTGAGTGAGTATGTATGTTCCCACACACAGCAGAGTAGCATCTACTGCTGTATTATTATAGTAGGGAACAGAGTATATATCACGACCCCTTTCATCAATCATCGCAGCTTATGATAATAGTCCACGACGACGAGGAGGATGGATGCCAAACGATACGTTTGTCTCCGGAAAGCTATTGGTTCCAACGCCGCCCTGCCACGCTTTCTGCTGTGTGTGGAGTAATAATCGAGATTTGAAAATTAACAACTAACTGCAGTTCCGGACTGGGGCTCCAAATTTTCCAGTTTAAGGCCACTTGTTACGCGGTCTTTTTCTGCGCTGTCTCCTTTTTTCTCAAAAAGAAACAACTGACGAAGAACCACTTGTTACGTGTTTTTTTTTGCATTTTTGGACCTTCCACAAGTGGAAGGTTGTGGTACAACCTGGTGTTTTGTTAGAACGGTTAGAAAGATCAAAAGGGGGCACCGTAGGTAAGAGATAATTGATAGGTAGGTATGTACAGCGAAAATAAAACAAAAAGGAAAGAGAGGTACCATGCTCACAACAGAAGAGACATCTGAAAGAAAGAGCAAGACGACAAGCAAACAAGAGGAAGAGTGGAAGAGAGACAAAGGAGGAAGAAGAAGGAAGCGAGTGTACGGAAGGGAGGAGACAGACAGAGAAAGAGAGCAAGAGCATCGTCGGTTCGTTTTTTTTTTTTTTGTCGGCCGACCCGACGCTTGAGCACGGGGTCCCATGCCGAATCGGTGAGGCTTGGGACGTTGACAACGATGAGGCGCCACGACGAGGAGGAGGAAGAGCAAGGCAGACGGNGAGAGGAGGAGGTTGTCGGGCCAGGGTGAGCGACGGGTGACCAGTGTAGAGAGCACTGGGTGTTTGAGGATGGAGTCACGTCTATCGCCGTCCGAAGGGGGGGAGAACGCGCCACTCAAGACCTAGGCAGACGCGGTCCAACTCCCCAATGTTAGGTAGGCAAGCCCAGTCTACGTACGTCAGCCGCTGGGATCCGTCGCATACGCAGCAATTCACGTCCTCACAAGGCCACCACAACGATTCCCGCGCGCACGGCGGGAGTTCGTATGGTAGGGGGGGCGGGAAGGAGGGGGGGCGGGATGAACACGTCGGGGGCGCCGGGATCGGCGCTGACGGAACAGCGTACCATGGGCCGCACGGGGAAGAGATGGGAGCAGCGGGACGAGGGCACAGTAGGCTAGGTGGGGAGGTCGGGCAGCCGCAGTACTATCATCAACTAGAACAGCAGCAGTAGCAGCAGCAGCAGCAGCCGCAGCAACAGCAGCAGCAGCGGCATCAGCAGTGGCAGCAACAACAGCAGATGCCACAGCAGCAGCAACAGCACCAGCAGAGACCGCAA